CACACCTCAAGAAACCTCAAACCCACTAATGATGTTTAGGATGTGACCCGGCTATTCAAGACCCCTTCCAGGTAGACATCAACTTAGACTTTCAGACCTTCCCGGGTCTAGATTTCAGTCCTGCGCGACTGGATCATGCCAATCAGATCTCTGGCTTCCAGGACTTCAATCAGGACCTGGACCTGTTGTTCGGGTTCATGAACGAGCCCGACGTGTCCATATCCTCCATGTTCACCGGAGTTGTACCCTATTAGCGACGTGTATATAGATCACAGTTCAAGATAGAAGGTCCGGGATTTGAGCCCGATGTTCAATAGAACCCATAAATTACATAACATCATCAAAACATCACATCGTAGCTCAGTAAACTCACTCCAACACACTCGGATCCTCCTTGACCGCCTGGTCATAATACGGTTGAAACGCCAACCACATCTTACTCGAGTTCCCACTCTTCCTATGCGTCATCTCCGCCTCCTCTTTGTTGATGTAGACCTTCTCCCACCCCGGTCCGGCCGCCGCATTGGCCATCATCTGCGCATGACAGCACCGATCGAGGGCAATGAACAGGAAGGCTGCCTCATCGACTGTTCTACCGCAGGTAATCATACCGTGGTTCTGCAAAATCACACTGCGGCAGGTTGGACCGAGTGCCTTGGCAATGCGAGCCCCTTCTTCAGTGGAGAGCACGGTGCCTCCGTAGCGAGGGTACACGGCCAGATCGTTGTAGAAGCGCAGGGCGTCCTGGTAGAGCATTTCAATGGGTCGCGCAAAACAGGAGAACGCCTTTCCGTAGACGGAGTGTGCGTGACATGCGGCGTTCAGGTCTGGGCGGGCTTTATGGATTTCACTGTGGATGGCAAATGCGGGGCCATTGATGGGATGCTGGGCGCCTCCAGGGAGAACTTCGCCATTCTCGTTGACGAGGACGAGGTCGGAAACTTTGATCATGGAAAAGTGCATGCTGAGTGGGTTGATCCAAAAGTGGTCTATTGTAGGCTTTGTTAGTGGGTCGTTTGTTGCAGAGGGAAACACAGTCACTGACGAGGATTCAGGGGGTCGCGCAGCGAAATGTGTCCAGCCACTCCCTCGTCAAACCCTTGCCGAGCAAAGACACGGAAGGCTACGGCCAAATGCTGTTTCTGGTATGCCCGCTCATCTTCGATATTGTCGAAAGTCGGGGGCGAGCGGATCACAACCTTGCCCTCTTTGTCGCCTAGGAAGTGCACATCGTCGAAGAACTTGTTGGTCGAAGCTGATCCATTGCTGTGACCATTCTGAGGGGCAGATTCAGTGACGGTGGTTGTGGCCATCGTTGAGGTCAACTTGTCAGTGCCTTCGGATTATATATATAGTCTTATATAGTCTTATAGAGAAGGTGGTGTAGACAAACGGGGTTAGTCGAAAAGAGGTAGGACCAGGATTAAATGCTTAGACAAGTCGATCGATTGACCCCGAGATTGGCGTATTTTATACCCTACCCACGTGCATGTTTCCAGAAAGAAAGAATCTCCGTGTTAGCGGTCATTGCACTGGGTGAGCCAGTCGGAGCGGTAAATCCAGCGACGGAGGGTTTTTCTCCGTCGGACGGAGGTGTAGATCCGCCTCGGAAAGTGGCAAGTAATGGTTCATTTTCAACTCGACAAACTGTTTGTCTTGTCCCCGCAGGTGATGTCAGCGGGGATGCGTTCAATCCAGCGTGTGCGCCATTATCATTATTATTTCTTCCTCGCGCTGGTCGTGTAGTGTGTCCATCAAAATTGCTTTTACCCCTTTACACAGCATCTCTACATCACAGCGCAATCGTCAACATGAAGGCAGTTGGGGTAAAAAACGGCAAAGGCAATGCCGATGCTCTCTTCATCGAAGATGGTGTGCCTGATCCCGTTCCGACGGGCAATCGCATCCTGGTTCGCATTAAGGCATTCGGTCTCAATCGCATGGACATAATGCAAAGAGAGGATCGCTATCCATACCCTTTAATGCCCGAATCGGGGAAGATCATGGGAGTGGAGTTTAGTGGAATTGTAGAAGAGAAGGGACCAGATTGTGAGCTAGTACATTCAACATTGCGAGAGCATTAGTTGACAGTCACAGGCTCCGGGGATTTCCAAGTGGGAGACAAGGTGTTCGGTCTTGCATACGGGGGTGCAGTAGGTGACTGTTCACACCGTTCATAAAATTGCAATTGACACGATATAGTATGCACAAAAGATAGCTGTGTCGGAGAAGATGCTCATGCATCTTCCTTCTACACTGAGTTTTGAAGAAGCTGCTGGTATCCCGGAGGTAGGATTAATTATCCTCACTGCATTCACTTCCACCCAACTGACCAGACAGACCTCTTTCACAGCTATCCAGGCCATTCACCTAGTCGGTAACCTTCAACCTGGCCAGTCGGTGCTCATCCACGCTGGTGCCTCTGGAGTCGGTCAATCTGCTATCCAGATTGCCAAAGTCGGCGGAGCATCGAAGATCTTCACGACTGCTGGGAGTGACGAGAAGTGTGATTTGTGTCGCTCTCTTGGAGCGGATTTTGCGGTCAATTATCGCTCCGGAGAGGACTTCTCAGAAGTGGTCAAGCGGGAGACAAATGGACGCGGGGTGGACCTGATCGTGGATCTCGTAGGACGGGACTATTTTCACCGGAACATGGCCTCGGCAGCCATGGATTCTCGCATGGTCCTAGTTGCAGCTTTAAGCGGGAGCAAGGTGGATGACTTCGATCTGCGTGCATTGCTCAACAAGCGAATCTGGCTGATGGCTACAACGTTGAGAACGAGAGCCGCTGATTATCAAGGACAGTTGCGTGATCTGTTCTCTGAGAAGATTCTACCCCATATCAAATCAGGCGAGGTGAAGACGACGGTGGATAAAGTGTTTCCATGGACTCAAGTATCGGATGCCCATAAGCGCTTGGAGTCGAATGTCAACGCTGGGAAGATTATCTGTCTGGTTAATGACGACTGAATAGATCTCACGTATAGCTTACAGATATGGTCAGATAGGCGATGTGTATATAACTACCCGTTGTACTCATGACACAATTATATAGAAACGGTAGCTGAGAGCGACACAAACTCTGAACTGGATGTTAAGCTAGAAATGGAGATGAAGAGACTTAAAGGAAACTGCAAGCTGTACGCAAAGACCGCTGGCAGAAGCATAGCCTCATTACTCATCAAAATTTGACCACAAATCGACCGTCGGCCTCTCCTCTCTCGAGTGCCTGCAGACACGCCCCGATGTCCTCCAATCGCACCTTAACAATCATAGGTTTGACTCGACCATCGCGTACATACTGCAGTGCTTCGCGCGTATCCTCCATCGTTCCTGTGCTACTGCCAGTAAGGCGTACGCCACGAGCCACAAAATATTCAGGACCGATAGGGAAGTGCATCTTGTTTGGTGCTGGAAGGATATCAGTACATGTGGTAGCAGGGATGCCTCACGTAGCTTACTGATCCCAATGCAGACTATGATTCCCATTTTCCGGACGTATTGCAGGGCCTGTTCATAAGCCCTACTACTAGAGCTAACTACAATTACTCCATGGGGACCTCCATCAGTAACACGGATGACATCTGCTGTGAGATCCTGCAAAACGTCCGTTAGCCACATTCTGCCTAGGCCAGCAGTCTGCGTACTGGTGTCTCCATGAAATCAATGTATGAAGTGACTCTCAATTTGCAAGACAACTCCCGTTTACTTGGGCCTGTGTCAATCCCAAGAACCTGCAGCCCGCTCGCTTTGGCGTATTGTATTGCCCTGGTTGGAGGTAGCGTTAATGAATCCATGGGATCATGTCTGAAGGACATCTCACAAATGGCCCAGCCCGCCTCCAGCTCCAATGATTGCTATCCACTGCCCAGAAGTGAGGCCGGTAGTACGAACAGCTCTATATGCCGTTGTGCCTGAAATCCCCGCTATTAGTTAGCATCAACACGCTCGCATGGGGTCTTCCCCTCATACCAGCACACAAGGTCGGCGCGGCTTCAGTTGCAGAGATATCTTCAGGGATGCGCATGAGATACTTCGAATTGACGATTGTGTATTCTTGCATGTTTCAGTTAGGGTCAGAACTTGGGACGTGGGTTGGTGATGAGATAATACCTCCCCAGCATCCCTCAACATCTTTTCCACTAAGCTTTCTCGAGTCGCATAGCTGCTCGTTTCCTTCCTGGCACATCTCGCAATTTCGGCAGACATCAAAAATCCATCGATGAGCGACTCGGTCTCCCAAGCGCCACTCTGAAGTATCTACATCCGGCCCGAGAGCAACAATACGCCCAACACCCTCATGACCACAGACGTCGACCTCCCGTTGAAGGTAAGGAATACTCCGTCTCACGAGATGTAAGTCTGTCGCGCAGATACCGGTCGCTTCAATCAATACCACAACCTCCGAGTCATTTGGTGTTGGCACGGGGCGCTCTTCAACTTCGACATGTTGGGTATCAATACATACAGCCACTTTGCCAGTAGAGGGAATATCAGTACTCATGTTGGATACTCCTATGTGTGTCAAGTCAGCGTTCACCTTTGTTTGGCAAGATATCGATGTCAAACAACCCCTCACTGAAGCCGACCCTCGGGTTGTGAACCGTTCTTAAGGGTTGTAGGGAAGCAGCCATCCGCCTGATATGGAGCCGAGGAGTGCGGGGTCTCCGCAACTACTGGAGTATTTCAGGTATAGTATTCGGGGACAAGTGATCGACAGTCAATCAGGTTGCGAGCTTCGATTGTGGCAGCCGGTAGCAAGGTGGAGTGAAGACAATGCATCGAAATCTATGACCGTACATTGTATTATTTAAGTTATGGGAAGCATATTGTCAGTTGCCTTCACTACCTGGCCATATCCGGATATACTGCTTGGACCAAACCTGCGCACCGAGCCTATCTTAGTAATGCAGTGGTCTACCGAACGAGAAGTATGCTTTGTTCTTTAATCTAAGGATATGCCTTTGAACATATGAGGATGAAACGGTAGTTCGCGTATCTCATAACTTAAGCCCATCGGCATGTCCTCTACATTGTAGAACAGCTTCTCTGAAACGTGGCTCTGCAGTGGCCTCTTCCATCTTTTCAGCATCGTGGCTGAACAACCATCCTCGGCGAAGCTCGTATCCCCAAAAGATTGGACTAGACGGACTGTCCTGTCGCATAAGCTCATCTCGCCAGCACTGCTCCTCACCGTCATCAATATGTAAGATGTATTGGTGCTCTCGCGTCTTAGACTGAATCAAAGACGCTCTAGGGTTGCGGATACGCTCATAACGCTTTAAAGCAGTCGTGATATCGGTATCCTCGGCCAGAGCCCTGCGAATTGTGGCAGCATCCTCAGCTGCCTGAGCAGCTCCTTGCGCCAGATACGGTAGCATGGGATGGCAAGAATCTCCCAAGAGGCAAGCCTTTCCTGACGGATGGGTCCACGTGGAAAGGGCCGGAAGGTCGCATAATCGCCACTTCATAAAGGACTTTGTCAGACGACATAACTTCTGCACCCGGGGCTCCCATCCGGAAAATCGCGCGCAAAGCTCCTCGTTATCACCCTCTACCACCCAAGTCTCGTCTGTCGTCTCTCCTTTCGATGTCGCACACACAACTATGTTGTACAGCTCACCATCTCGTATGGGATATCCGACGAGGTGGGCATCTGGCCCGCACCACGACGTTGTTGCCGGGTGCGTAATGAGACCAGCGAGATCCGGGTCGGCCAGAAGATCCTGACCAGGTATGAGGATCCGATATGCGGCGTCTCCCGTGTCTCGAGGACGGTCTGGCTGACTTGTTAGGAGAGGTCGAGCAGTGGACTTGATACCTATAGATTCCATCAGTCCAGTCGTCCATCAATTTGGGCAGAAAAGCCTACCATCCGCACAGATGATGAGATCAGCCATCCATTTCTCGGATTCTGCTGTGATAGCCATTGGAACGCTGAAGTCGTAGGAGGTCACATGTCGATTCTTATGAACGACAACTCCGGCTTCGATTGCGACCCCTAGTAAAGATGTATGCAAATCGGCTCGGTGAACCAGGTAATATGGTTCACCATGACGTGGGACCATGTCTTCGAATTCGATCTTCGTTATTGTCGAGCCATCTTCCCAACGCAGAAAATGGTATCCTCGACAAAGGCATTTTCGCATTTTGTCAAAATCGATCCCCCATCGGCGGAGAAGACGAGTGCTGTTGGGTGGGATGCGGATACCCGCACCAGCCTAATTGTTCGCGCATTAGCTCACTTTGCTCGAGGAAGAAGTGAAGGGCTTCATCTTGCCTCTTTGAATTCAGCAGAGGCATCAAGAAGAGTTACTCGGTGTCCATCTTGCCGCAGAGCCAAGGATGCGAACAGACCACCGAGTCCAGCACCCACGATCAGAATGTTCAAGGGTTCAGATTTCAGAGACATTGTGAAGTTACGAGGGCATCCCACAGTGAACTTCTATAGTACGTATCTGTTGCGGCCTTATGAAGCATCTCATGGGTGAGCTATATGCGACGAACTGCAGCACTGATCCGCGTCCTGGACTCAAATCCTCGGACCGGGGATGTATGCACCCGGAGTCGAAATGTCACCCGAAAGGAAAGACTGCAGCATTTGCGCCTCGCCATTGTGGCTCGTCTGCCAAGATTCAGGGGTCTATAATTCCATCAGCTGGCTTTTGCTCCGACTATGACACACCCGGATCAAGCCACCAAGTCGCTGCTTGGGGTAGAATCCGTACTCTCTCCGCCTCGCCTGCTATCAGGGATATTCTGCGCCTACGAAATGGGTATTGTCTGCTGTTGTAAAATATCATTGCTAAGCAATTCCGTAGATCGATGACAGAAGTACCTTGTCATGTTCGTTGGGAAGTCACACCACAAGTGGGCATGGACTTTGAGATGTATCAACAATCCTTCTTCACAGTACGATCCTACTTTTTCAGCCCAGGTGGCTCCGACAAGACTATACTTGCCATGCGACATCACTGATTTGACTATACAATGCCTGAAGGGTGTCTCCGAGGCGGATTGTTGACTCCTCGTGCGTAGGCTATGCGTATTGATGGATTTTCATTCATTTCTACTCTTGTTAAAGTATAATCAGGGGGCAGATTGGCTGCCCTTCCTATTCATAATAGATTATATCAATGAGATGGTTTTCTTTTCTCTTTGAATTTATCGTATTTTAGTTCCTTTTATTTCCGTTCTTCTTTTCCTTTATAAGGGAGGAGTAACCAGCTCTATGTGATGTATCCTTGTTGAACATGACAGGTGCCAGTGAGCTTTCATGCCCGCGTTGAACAGACTGAAGAGCTCGATACCCCAAAACAGGGTAATGTAGAGCGTAGCGGAAGTGTTATCTGATAATGGGAGAAGTAGTGATAATATCCATCACTGCTGGGACGCCAAGCATGGAAGCTTTGAGTGAATTAGAGGCCATCCGAGGCTCCGGCTGCATGTATCCGCCGATCCCCCTCCCTGTGCCGAGCGAGCTCAACTGTCATATCCTTCAATTGGGATATCACCCACCACTTCGAATGCTGTCTGCGGATCGATTCTTCCTGAACCAGTCCACTCCCCGAGGATGGAGAAACGTTTAGCTGGCCGTCGCGTTCCTGATGAATTGCGGAAACGTACATTCGCGAGCTGTGACACCTGCCGGAAGGCGAGTGGCGAACTTATCCTGCCTGGCTTACTCTTTTCCAGTCACAGTTATGCTAACAAGAATGCTTAGCGTCGTTGCAAATGTATCCGTCGCGGAGGCTCAGATGAGGACTGTGTCGCCTGCCAACGATCTGGCATCCCGTGCGTATCCAGCTACCAGCGAAAGACCCGATTGTACGGAAGTGTCGAGACCATCCGCGATCGGTATGCCAGGTTAATCTTCCCTCAATCTACTGTATGGCCGACTAACTATCTTGTAGGATTCACTGTCTTGAAGCACTTGTGAAAGGGGCCTTTCCGGGCGAACCCATTAATAGTATCCCTGCTCTGTTGGAGCTGGGCCGGAAAGCCGGCTATGAACTGCCCAAGCTGGACCTCCCACAACTGACTGGGGATGAGCAGCGCGTTGAACTACCGAGCCCAGAAAATGCTAATCATACGCTGGCGTACGATGGCAATGGTAGCGATCAACGTGGATGTATTAGAACCAGCCAGCGCCCACCACAGCTGGTCAAAGACAGCCGAGGCCAAAGTCATTACATTGGGCCGTCAGCATCCCTTGCATTCTTTGCTGATCTCCGCAGCCTAGTATCGGAGCAACAACCGTCCTCTTGCTTTGCTGCAGATACTTTGACGGAGTCTCTCGAGGCTCGGCAAAGTTCTAGTACGATGTCAACGTCAACTGTTAATACAAATCTAGCGCCAATTACACGCGACCAAGAATCATCCCTTGTCAAAGAACAGCTGCAAAAAATGCCCCGAGATCGTCTGCTGGTAATAATAAATGCCTTCTTTTGCACTGTAAATGCAGATTTCCCACTTCTGGACAGGGGATGCTTCTCTAACAAGCTCGAGTCCTACATCTATCCCATCGGCCACATAGAGGGATTGGATGATGGTTGGGTGGCCTGTATCCATGCTGCTCTCGCCTTCGGCTGCTGGATCCTGGAGGATGACGCTACATTTGAAGCCGATGATCCAGCCATACTAAGATTTCGCTGCTGGAACCTCACCCGGGGAGCTTTGGCCAGCTTGTTGACCACATGTACAGTCTCTAATGTCCAAGCTCTTTTGCTTATGGCACTCTTCCTGCACAACAACAATGATCGAAATGCAGCGTGGACCCTAACAGGTAGTGCTGCGAGAATTGCTATTGCGTTGGGCTTGCATCGGAGCGATATTGACGAGAGCCTTCGTCTAACAGAACAAGACTCCCGAAGGCGAGTCTGGTCTACATTATTCACGTTTGAGCAATTTCTCTGCTTATGTTTGGGACGCCCAAGTGTAATTGACGGTCGGGAAGTAACCCTGGGACCTGCACCCGAGGACTCTGCTACTGCACTCCCCAGTCATCCCAGCCATTACCAGGTGGCCACTGACCTTCAACGACAAGTCAGTCGACTCCGCGATGCGATCGCTTTCTTGCATCGGCCTGCTTCCCCTGTATCATCAACTGATACGCCGGTTACTGATCCAATATCGCTCCTGACCAGGCTGAAAACTTGGGAAACTAACATACCAACTTATCTCATTATACCGTCTGGTATCTTGAATTCGTGCACCATTCCCCAAGTGGCAGTTCTGGAAGCGTTCGTTTCTGGTTATCCACCGGCTCAACTACGGCCAACGGTTCTCCTCAATTTGACCTATAATAATCTCGTTATCCAGCTTACGCGGCCATATTTGCTTACAGTTATTTCCATGAGTCGAAGGCATAATCCAAAACAACAATACCCTTGGGCTACATCTCATGATACTTCGAAAGACGGGACGAGAAGCGCTGAGTATCTGGCCTCCAGCTGTGTAACAGCAGCGATGCGGATTGTTAACCTTCTCATCCTACTCGATCATGCCAATAGGGTCGATGGGAAAACTAGCCTAGACCTTTTTTACGGATACTCGGCTGGGATGGTTCTGCTCCTCCGTCAGCTGTGGGTCATGCCCCCGGATCTTCCCAAGTTTATGTGGCAGCTAGAAGACACAGCTCAGCGTGATGTTCAATGCCAGGTGGCAAGGTTGCAGTCCCTATTGCAAGAAAACGCGAGGTGTCTGACCATGCAGAGGTTTAAGTCAGTGCTTCAAAAGTTCGACGAAGCTGTTCTTGCGAACGGGCAACTTCGGAGGCGAGGTGAGAATGATAATGTCTCATCTTTGGACTTGGCACAGGAAGGCATCGAACCTTTGGAGATCTCGCAGTTACATAACCCTAACTTCGATGGGACTAGTAGCGACCAATATGGCACTGTGTTAGGTAGCCCAAGCCTGTGGCAAGATTCGCTGCAAACGATCACGCAGTACAGTCTCGACTGGAGCAACTTTGAGCAATTTCTCGGTAGCATGAATGTGGCGTAGGCTTCAAGGGCTACGTGGATACTTCAGATGAACCTTCCTGAGATGGCAGCTTTACGTCATGCAGACCTCGATATAAAAACCATATTCATTCTGTCAAGACTACGCTCACTAATCCATCAAACATGTCATTTCCTCCAACGTGCTCGATCCCTTCATGATCACTGTTAAATCGCAGTCCTGCACGCGACACGGACTTCTGGCTTACTGGTGATCCTACTTAGGCATCCACACAAAAGTTCAATGTCATAGCCCGGCGGATTTTCTCTCCTTCTTTGATGAAGTCCTCGACGTTGTGTCGTGCCCTGGCCCAATGCTCCCTGTTGAACTGGCAACGATGGTTGACATAGTCGATCTTGACCTTGACAGATCCTCTCTCATCCTCCTCGCCCTCTTCGTAGACCCGGAACATTGTAGACTTGATTACTATGACATCCTATTAGTGGCTGCGTCACCGAAGACAGTAATATCTGCCTACCAGGATTTTCCTTGCCATCAGCACACACTTCCACATTGGTGAAATGGTACTGCTGCATGTCGTCTTGCTTGCGTGCAGCAACGATGCGGTTGATGATGCGCAAGACAACGCCAAACTGTGCCGGCATATTTTCCTTGGATTCCAGCCGCCCGCGCAGCTCCTGTTCGACCTTCTTGTTCATGTTCTTCTCATCTGTCTTCAGCTCAACGGTAAATTCCTTCTTGTCGGCTTCCACCAGCCTTCGTGGCGAAACGTTAGAGACCACTCCAAGAGAATTTACTCCCAGCATGGAAACTTACCAGGATTCGTGCTCCTTGCGCAGATACTGGATCGCCTTGCTGCGATAGTCGGTGCGTCTGACGCGCGATTCGTTGTAGTCGTCGGTTGGTAGATTTCCCTTCTGCATCAATTCATTGACCTGGGATTCAGCGCGCCCAAGTTCAAAGGCGTTCCAGGTCTCCAGGTCATGTCTCAACTCCTGCACTGCCTTGCGATGCTTGTCGGAGACCGGCTGATTGTAGTACATGAAGAGGAGACTAGGGGTGCCATAGTCACCAGTCACATCCACTCCCTCTGGAGCTCCCACAAATTTGTGTCCATTATCACCAGACAAGGGAGACACGTCCATTTTTGTGAATTCCTGTAGACAAGACTGTGGCTGGAGATATAATCAGACAAGGTTTCCTGTGATCTGGGAGAGATGCTTAAGCTGTCGATGAATCGAACTCTGGCATGGCTTCTCAGTGAGCAATGACTGGACTTCTTATAGCTTCGTGGTCCAGACAACAGGTGTGCTATGTTTTGTCGTGTTGTAAAGCCTGTGTCAAGGGCTAAGCGCTCATGTTACCATAACTTCCTTAGACTACTGATAGCAGCGGTTCCTACGACATCCGAAGTGATGCAGATGCGTAAGACTCCGCTGCATCCGACATCAGATTATGCTCTCCATGCGCCCAACGCAAAGCAACGTTGGCTATTAATTGATAGGTCCGGTGCTTCGCCTGACTTACCTTGGGGCACTTCACTGCATCGTGGAGCAGATGCAAGGTAACTCTCAAATGCACGCATATCCTTTACTCACACGAACTTGGGCTTTGCTCCGGGTCGGAGAAGGGTGTTTCAGGAATTGCTCATTCTATCTTGACATTGCACAGTTTACATGGAGCCCCAGCAAGTACACAGGATTCTTCTTAGTTGGATTAGGTTCCCACTTATAGTTATAGATTTACGTACGGTGGACAAAATCATCCATAATTATGAAAATCAATAGCGGCTTCAAATACCATTCCGACAATAGCATACTCCGACGGAACTATGAGCAAGTGCCACCGTAGCGAGATAGGTGCGTTGCTCCTCACGCACGCACATTCCTCGTCCACATCCACTTTGTGGCTTTGACCACGATACAGTAGACTGAGTATTTCACAGATATTCCAATTCGCGGCCTGACATGGTGTATCTGTAACACCGAGGTCAACTTAAGAAAACAAAGCAGTTGTCAACACCAGAAGCGGAGAAATCGCGCAGCCAATCTTGTTGTACGAGATGTACGCAATGTAACAAGCTTAAATGGCACGACGGGGTAAGCCTTGGCACAGACATCCTCGGGCGACTCGAAACAGCTACTTTGTTACGTGGAATGGGGGCCCAAGCTCACTATGGCTAGTCATGATGGCTTCATCTGATGCACGGAGTATAAGCAGCTGCGACATGACAGATTCCTACCACGTCAACCTCAGCACATATCCGCTACGGCCTAAGCGGGCAATTCCAATTCTGTCAGCGTCGTCTCGCAATTGGCATCAGATGGCCGTCAGCAAATAGCCAAGTGGCCAGCTGCAGACGATTTAGATCCTCGCTCGAATAGCCTTGGAAGCGCTCTCTTCGTTAGCGAGAGCCCAATGCACATTGCACGGTCACCAGTGTACGATACAAGATGACGCTACTCTCATACTCGCCAACACTTTGGGATTGCAAGGTAGTCTAGTCTCATGGTCAATCCTTCTACTTGAAGTGTCGAACATGGTCAACCGGCACTCTACGATCCCGATGAGTCACTCCCGTCATCCTGCCATCGCTAGATTTGCAGCTGTAGTCCACCAAGAAACAGCAATATGTGAAACAGCCAGCCTCTGACTAAATCATTGAAGCTACTATCCCTAGCTTCATTGCATCGGCTCACTGTATGAGTCAGGCGCACGTCATGATGCGGAAGTTCTATAACTGGGGATATTTGCCACCGGTGCATGATGGACACTGTCAAAACGAAGATAGTCACCGATGGAAAGGGTGGGTCCATGGACAAGATCGTCCGTGAGGCTGCAAAGAGCTCGCTCGCTAGATATGAGTCAGGGCAAGATGGGAAACGCGGCCGATTCCGGGGATCCGCCAGAAGGAGGCACGTGGCATGAATGGGGAGGGGAATGGGATCCAGGCCCATTTGGGATCATGGCTAATTTGGCTGGAGCTGTCACCGGTCGGCAAACCGGTCGGATGAACGAGTCAGATCGGCTTCGCAAGCTTCTAGAGAACCTTCGATTTCTCCAGGTTAGGTTCGACAAACTAGACGGGAGGCAACGCCGGAGTGCTGCCAGGAAGCTCCGAAGAACCGGCAGCGGCCATGCCTCAAGACACAAAAACTCTTAACCCAGTGGGGAAAGGCCTCCGTCTGGCCACCAGCCCTAACAAAGAACGCCGAGGGAAAGAAGGCGGAAAAGTGGAAAACCTTGAGAATGGGGAATCTGGAATCCGCCACCGCGACGCTGCATAAGGTTTAGTGGCTACGACAACCCCCTCCGGCCGCCGGATTGCAACAGGAAAAAAGAGGGGACGCAAAGTAGTATTTCCGGGGCTGAGCTTAATTTGATCCTCATGCTTCCCCCAGGTCCGGTGCCGGACCAGCAAGCATTTGCGATATCTGGTGATTCCTCGTCCAATCGAGGTGTGAAAATCGTGCAGGATGTTCGTCGATCATCTTCAGATGGTCCCTGGACGTTTTTTTAGCTTAGATAGAGGCTTTTTGTGCCTGAACGATGCATGGTGCGACCGGTGGAGCCGTGAGGGCGAGCAGGAGCCCGATGTCGGAGCAGGATTCTGCGGGCGGCAAAGTTTGTGTCACACCAGCAGAGATTGCATTAAGTCGGCCTCTGATTTGCCAGAGCGACCCTTCTATTAACTAAGAAAAACCTCCTCGCCATGCGTCAATGCTTTGCAGACTCTGGCCATATATGGTTGACGCCCGCATCGTGCGGGTGTGCCTGGGTTTAGTTCCGCTACTCCCTTTACCTGGTGCTGTTGCTGCTGTCGCTGAGACTTCGAGAGATTCGAGACGGGTGCTTGTTCAACACTTTATATCCCATCCATCTCACTCACCCTGCTCGAGGAGTCGGCCTGTCAACCAACCCATCCCTGAACAGCAATCATGTCGACCTTGGACGTGAAGGATATTGAGAATGGACCGGGTCGCCGGGTCGAAGAAGATGGAGGCATGTGGGAGAATGATATCGTGAAGACACCTTCCGTGGAGAAGGACCCCTTTGGAAATGAAGCTGTTGGAGAGGTTCACTATAAGACTCTCGACTGGTGGTACGTTTGGACCCCGTGAACTATATACTACTGCACCGTTTATATCGGACGGTATATACTCTTCATGGCAGAGACTGACAAATCATTTTTTTCTCAATTATAGGCAATCTGGAATGCGTATGCTGCTCCACTTTGATATCGTCTCCTCTGATCCATGTAACTAACCTTGACTTTTTGTCTGCAGTGATGATCGCCGAGACTGTGTCACTGGGTGTTCTGTCTCTTCCCGCCACCGTGGCTGAGGTTGGCTTGATCCCGTAAGTAGTATACGATTTCGTACCGTCTACATCGTCACCCAGTCTGTTGCTAACCAGTTATGCCTTCAGTGCCATCATCCTCATCGTCGGCATGGGCATCATCGCCACTTACTCTGGCTATGTCATTGGACAGTTTCGGGCCAGGTATCCCTTCATCCACAGCATGGCTGATGCCGGCGAGGTCTTGTGCGGCCGCTATGGTCGCATGTTCACGGAATTCGCTCAACTGGTGTTCTTCATGTTCGCATCGGGTAGTCACTTGGTGACCTTCACTGTCATGATGAACACCCTTACCAACCACGGAACCTGCTCTGTCGTGTTTGGTGTTGTCGGCTTGGTGCTTTCCTTTGCCTGCTCTCTCCCTCGTACCATGAAGAACGTCTCATGGCTGGCCGTGACTTGTCAGTACTTCATTGTGTCCATCTTCAGCCTTCTATCATGCTAACTTTGTGTTTCAGCCTTCATCAGTATCTTCTCAGCCGTCTTGATCACCATGATTGGAGTCGCTGTTGAACACCCAAACCCTCCGCCCATGCAGCTCACCCGCTCAACTTCTTTCGTAAAGGGTTTCTCAGCTGTCACTAACATCGCTTTTGCTTACTGTTCGTCTTCTATCCCCCAATTATGAACGGTCGCATCTGAGTACTAATCCTTGGTCCAGGTGGTCATCCTGCCTTCTTCGGTTTCATCGCCGAGATGAAGGATCCCAAGGACTTCCCCAAGTCCCTCTGCATGTTGCAAGGCTTTGAAATCGTCTTCTACACGGTCGCATCCGCCGTCATCTATCGCTACGCTGGTCAGAACGTCACCTCCCCCGCTCTGGGCTCCGCCGGTATTGTCGTCCGTAAGGTCGCCTATGGCATTGCCATTCCCACCATCGTCATCGCGGGTGTCGTCCTGGGACACGTTGCCATCAAGAACGTCTACGTCCGCCTGTTCCGCGGTACGGATGTCATGCACAAGCGCAGTGCCCTGGGTGTCGGTGCCTGGATTGGTCTCGCTGCGGGCTACTGGATCATCGCCTGGGTGATTGCCGAGGCCATCCCTGTCTTCAGCGATCTTGTCAGCTTGGTCAGCGCATTGTTTGCTAGTTGGTTTTCATGTGAGTATTCCTTATGTTATCGATGTGTCCTTGACCCTATGAGTTATTTACTAACAATCTTTTAGTCGGTCTGCCCGGTGTCTTCTGGCTGTACATGTACTGGGGCAACTACTTCACCTCTGTCCGCAAAACGCTGCTTACCCTCGCCAACGTGGCCTTGTTTGGCATTGGCGCCACCATCTGTGTCTGTGGTCTCTGGGTCTCCGGACTCTCGATCTCCAGTGACAGCTCTGGCAGCAGCTTCTCCTGCGCCAATAATGCCTAATTCGGGTCATGAGCTACTGCCTCCTCATGACTGGGTTGTATATATGTATAGACTTGTATTATAGATAGACCTTTATTTAATATACCCCTTTGCGTTTGTTGTTCACCACTGGATTCGTACATGTATGCTCAAGATTGACATGTACAAGCCATTTCCCAGTACTGTTCCCAAGTGTCACTTGACTAGTTTCATCTCCATCGATATTGACGTGATTTTGTTGGCCTCTTCACTCCAGGCTGCACTTTCTATGGTGCCCCCAATGCAAGGTCAGTATCGATTGCTCAAATCAGCAAATTCCCGACAAAGCTGTCCCTATACTACGGTCGGCACTTACTACTACGTACTAGTAATGTTGGATTTACCTCGATTTGCAAGCCTGTGTAGTAATGAGACTGTTCTACGACGAGTAAAGGAGGATGAAATCCCGACTTGTGGTACCAATGTGTATAAAGTTGAATTTGAATGTATATATATATGTCCGTAACGAACACCAGTAGTTACCCGTTGCATACCCCACACACTCCAGAGTTGAAAGCATACAATTTCAACTGTCATTCAGCAGTTTGTAAGTTAACCGGAATGCCAAACCCTGGCTGTACTAGATACTAGTGTTTCAAAACATATGATTTCACAATACTAGCACATGCTCCATAATATGATGCAGGTGAGTCACCCACAGAATTGCATCTCCGCTTTCACATGATGGAGGCATAATCATCCGAGGTGCCCGGTTAGGGCCCCTGGGCCATCAAGGTATCTTTCTTAGTCTCTCAGCCGTTGTTGGATCGAGGATCTCTATTTGGGGACGATGCTACTTCAGGGTCCACTGGAGGACGCTACGTTACATCACCTTCGCGCCATAATTGCCTTGACTGCTGCGAGCGGAAGGTGGCGCGATCGGGTGTATGCAGGTGCATAAAGTTATCCGCTTAGTCATTGACATAACACAAGACTGAAAGTAGCCTATTCAGGAAAACGCGTCGCTCAAAACAACGCGATGGCAATCATTCCATTGCCAGACAGGAAATTAGGTTTCGTGATATGCTGATGCGGAAGGAACGATCGATGCCTGGCTATATGATATACTGCTGTTCTCTAAGATAGAACCTCGTTATTCGTTCGGCTCATGCAATACTTCTCCTGGAAGTTCTCTGGCCTTGATGAATTGGGTATATAGGTAGTAAGTACTCCGTGGTACATGTACTATGTGTAATCCCCGAAACAAGGACCAGCACTACTTGAAGTCTGCGAAGAAGATACATCTGTAACCTATGGAAGTTTGTAGACATCAATATATGCATAGTCCCGCTGAAGGTTGAGCATGCGATGAACCATAAGTAATGGAAAGGTCTAGCCTCAGCCGTCCAACCTGAACAGTGAATCAAGTGTTGGCTGGCCCCAATCATTCACTCCTTCACATAACGATCGAACCATGCCACAGCCTGCTCAAATGCCGCTTCTTTGGCGAATCTCTGTCGCGGCTCTGCTAGATCACAGCGGACCGCAAATCCGTGCTCTACATCAGAGAATAAATTGATCTGAAAGGGGACATCAACTCTGGCGAGAATTGCCTCACTTTCGTGGCGGTTGGCAGTGGTGAAGACGGGATCAATAACTTGTCCATTGGTCAGCATAACCAATAATGTAGGAGAGTACACAGTTCTGCTCAACTCACTGGCTGCAGCAATGCTCAAAGGCCCTTCGACCCCCTCCAGCTCCTTCACCGTCACCATGGTTGGGTGGGCAACGAACCCTGCGTTTAGTTTGCCAGCTTTGAGGTAGCGACACACATATTTGCCGCCAAAACAATACCCGACAGCGCCGACTTGCTGGCAGGCGAGGGTAGTGCGCATCTCCCCTAGTATAGCATCGATAATAGGATCGACCCTAGGTGGCAGGTGTTGGTTGTACCAGCCCATAATATCAAAGTCGGGCCCATAGTCGACTGGGATGGGATCGCCATGGAAGAGGTCGGGCATAACCACGAGGAAGCCACGGGCGGCAAACTGGTCCGCCATCAAATGGGCATTGATGAAGCGATGGCCATTGCCATCAGTAAGGAACAAGATGGCATTCTTTGTCGACCGATCAGGTGGATAGGCGATGTACGTCGAGACTATCACACAATCAGTGGTGGTAGTGACAACGTTGTCGGTAGTAAATACACACTGTTGGCAAGTTCTTGGATCTCCCCACTGGCCCTGCCCTCGTGCAGATGTCCTGCCATGCAGCATTGAGATGGCGCATTGGAAGTCATTATTGCGATGGGCCACCAAAGCAATGGCCAGCAACAGGTGCTGAACTGGCCAGGAATTAATATGGGACGGGAAAAGCATACTGACGCAGGCAACCAGCGGTTGGCGTAATCCTTTCAGCGGAGGTTCAGCCTATTGTCGGACCCCTGCGGATATTCCGATTTAATAAGACAAATTTGATCGAACCGGGTTTGTCACATCGTTAGAAAGCTTTGGAGTTTGGACTGGGCCTCACTGTGTCGAATATGCATGCAGATGCAAAGCCACAATACCACCTATAAATAGTTGCAACTCACCTGAGCCACCATGGAGGAGGCCACCTGCTAAAACACCACAGCCTGATGGCTTTGGACCACGGTACGGTCCGCGGCGCCTTGTAGTGGGGACTAAATGTCCTTTCTTCGAGACGCCAATGACCCGACCAGCCACTTAGCGATGGACCGGGTGGCAGACTTGCAGGGATCTAAGGACTGGCCGAGCCACCGGTCGCATCCCCAGCTGGTGCACGTTGAGCGAGGGTTTCAGGTAAGCGCCGATATCCTGGCCACTCATATCTCCGCCAGGGAAGATTTGGTGGTGCCTGCATAACCTCCAAGCAGTCAGCGCGTGGTAGGCTGGCTATATGGGCAGCCTATCTCCCCCCGGAAGAACTGACAGGCAGTCCAGTTCAGTCCGGGCCATGCTTCCCATGTCAACAAATTCTACCTCTACCACAGCTATAGTTGATGGCTGGATTGACGAGCCCGATGGGCGGGGCACCTGGTCCATTCTCTCGAGCTGTCTACTGACTATTGTACTATGTTGCTGGACGGCTGTCATGCCCAACATCCCTGCCCGCTCCGACCGATGGTATCATGGCCTACGCGACCGACTGCATTTGGCCTCTCTGGGACTTTTGGGCCCCGAATTTCTGCTTATGCTGGCGCTAGGGCAGTGGTCCTCGGCGCGAGCGTCTGTCAAGGTCTCGAGATCATTCTGTACTGGTCTGCCCAGAACAATAAACGTGGCTAATACCCTCGCCAGGGATTCGAGCGACTATTGACAACGAAGACCACCAAGCGTCCCCGTTGGACTTTAACTCATGCCTTCTATGCGGATATGGGGGGTTTCTTGGTCGATGGCCCGGGAACCGATAGGCCATTCCCAGTAAACGCGAAGCAGCTTCAATTCCTCATTGAGAAGGGCTACGTCGATTACCCTATGATAGGTGAAGACGACATCAACGATCGAAACAAATCTGACGCCTTCTCTCGGTACGTCTCCAGCTTGCTCGAGAGCGTTTGCCTTCCGCTTATTTGAGTTTCCAGTGTGATCGCGGTATGCCAGGCACTGTGGTTGCTCGTCAACTGTGCCATGCGTGTAGCTCAGGGACTGGCCCTGACGACCTTGGAGCTCACTACTATCTCATTTGTAGTGGTATTTCTTGTGACGTCTTTCTGCTGGCGCTTTAAGCCATCGGACATCTCGAGTACCCTGACTCTTGACGTAAATACCGATATCAATATCATTCGGGAACAGGTATGTTTGACTCTACTCTAGCCAGTGATGTGCGTTAACAGTATCTCGTTTCGGATTAGCATTGCCCTTATCCTTCGCAAGAATGGCACGAGACACCCCTGGACTTTGTGTGTGACGATGTCTCCTTTTGCGCAGTGCACTGGCATTACTACACAGAAATCCTGCGAAAAATGCACATTCCGATGTTTTCACGCCCAATGACCGCAAAACCACGCGATCGCATTGTCAGTGACAACTTTCCCGTCACCGACCTGAAGGCCGATTGCATTGCTACCCCAGTGCTGCTTGTATTCGGCTCAATGTTCATGCTTGCCTGGAATTTCCACTTTCCTTCCCCCGTCGAACATCTTTTGTGGCGTATCGCTAGTATATACAACCTGGTATTCACCGTCATCGGTGGACTGCATGCCGGTTATTGCGACAAGATTCTGCTGCCCAGGGAGTATAAGCGGCGAATGGTTCTGCCCTTGTCGACAATAAAGACCTCGACTAACCCATCCCGGCAGCGGTCGTTTCTGCGAAACTTAGCAGCCAAGTTGAGAAACATCGATCCGTATCGCAATCCCAAGAGGGAGGTTCCTCTCCGTGTGCTATTTCCTACTTCTGTTCTTTGTGCAGCCTATTGCGTGGGTCGAGCGTACGTTCTTACGGAGGACTTTATCGGACTGCGCAGTTTGCCTGCCAGTGCCTTTCAGACGGTTAGCTGGTCAGATTATGTCCCGCATCTGTAAGCAGGGCGCGGTGCAGCGGATAACTCATTGCTCATAGCACACATCTAATAACACAGAGATTCTATATACTGTAAATGTTCAAATGGACAAGACCACCTAAGCATTTCATACTAGCCATCACGGCCCCAATGGTAAGATAAACGCCAAATCCCACATTACTGTCGTGACTTTCATCCATCGGTCTATACAATATCAGACTTCCAGTCGGTGAACAAGGAGTCTCAGAACCCAGTTCGGGCAGCCCGATTCCTTTTCCACCTCGTCGATCCGATGCCGGATTTCACCCATCAGGCCTCGAAGTGCTTCTTGCGTGTGTCCCATGCTTCCGCTCTCGTGGAGATAGTCCAATACCAGTTGCTTCTGCACGATATCAAGTCTGCCCGACTGGCGGCCGTGCTGTAGAATATACCGAATATCCGATGATTCAGGCAATGACTTATTGGCATGAATCAGGGGAAACGAGAACTTCCCCTCATCTAGATCCTCGCAAAAACCCTTTTGTCCGGTGTACTGCGCTTTTGTGTCAATTTTAATGTCTAGCTGTACTGTGTTGGTGAACTGACCTCTTCAGTAAGGTTCTTGTAATCATCTCGGATTTGGAAATATTCCCCCATAAGGTCGACAAGAGGTTCCAATGGGAGGTATCTATTGTGTCGGGTAAGATTAGTATAGTCTTTCATCAAGGCATCCGCGCTTCCTACCGGTTCTTCTTTGACGTCGCCTTTTGCATCATCAACCGAGATAATAGCCGGAAGAGACCACCAGTTTCTGAATACCAGTCAGTACCAAGTTTGTGATAGGAAATGATGAGATGGAAAAGCCTGGATTTACTTTGACGTATCATCTCCCGGTATTCGTCCTCCGACGGACACTCGCCCTGCCGTGTCCAGTACAGATCGAAACTCTGACCAACGAACAGATTACGCATCTCTTCGACGAAGATGTCCACACAACGCGAGTCCTCCAACAGCCTCACTTGATCCATAGCCTGAATCAGGACAAAGTTAGCGGAGTTGATTGTCAGCGCCTGTCCAAAGACGGTGTGTGTCGCGGGCTGGCCCCGACGCAGAGGCGATCCGTCTTCAATGTCATCCAACCTACGCAGGAGGATATTTCGTTAGCAGAGTGGCGTTTGGGGTAAACCTTTTAATGCAATCACTCACATCAGAGAGGCATTATGTAAAGTCTTTGCAATGGTCTTTATGACGCTTACGAAGCGATCCGGGAGAGCAAGCCACACGTTCAGCGCGTCGATAAAGGCCTCGCGAACACCTTTGGAGGGTAGAGAGGCAATATACTCTGCTGGACCATTGAGGTGCTTTATAGACTGTTAGAAAATTTCCATCAATAAGAGGTTACATTGCACAACGCTCATACCTCTGTTCCGAGTATAACCCGGTCGGTCTCCTTTTCCCTGTCGTCGACAGAAGGAGCTGATGAAACTGATGATCGTGCAGAACGATCACTTGCTCCAGTCCAGAGGGAGGACATAGACGAGATACTATCTCCCGAGACGCTCCGTCGTTTACCTATGTTAGGCAAGTCGCGAGCCTCTTTCATCGATGCTTGCAACAGGGCACTGCCTTCCTCACATAGCCAGGGGTGGTACCGAGGACATCGTAGACTCCAAGCGACGTTCCCTGGAATTTGGCATCCCAACGCAGTGAGATACAATTGCAGCTTGGCGTTGGACTTTCCTTGGCCAGCCATAAATTCTTGTACTCGTTGCTGGTACCCCCTCTCGTAGTCGTTTGTGACTTGCCGGACAAGCTGTTTGGCTTCCTCTTCATTCACCTGGTGCCATTGCATGAATAACCAGACGGCATTCGTCAAGGCGGTTTGATTTGATTCTGGCTTATGAAACTCTTCCCACTCGATATCAAAGGAGAAGTAGTCATTGGCGAGTCCCAGGGCAGCATAGCACGGCTTGACAATAGGAGCGACAAGCTCCTCTTCTTCGGGCGTGAGGAGAAGGCCCATTCCAAAACGCATCACTGTGTCCACAAACCTGTAATTTTGGTTAGAGCAGCGTAAGTTTGAATCAGTAGGGACTTCTTACGGTGCACCCGTGTCAACAATTCGGTAGTCCACGTATTCCTCCAGGTTCTCAAAGGCGCGGGTCTTGTCCTGCTCGGCGGTTGTGTTGATCATCGTCTTCCAGGAGTCAATAACAACCTCAGCGCATGCAGTGTCAATCGACAGGAGGTCGAGTAGCATTTTAGACTGGATCTGTTTGGCTCCAGTGACCGATCGCACGGTTCGGTACTCTGTCTCATCGAGAGCAATATCATCCGTGTTATTGTTTAACTATAGTTGGTTAGGTCTGGGCGACTCTCTGGAGTCAACTTCGCTGTAGGGCATACTGTGGATTTGGCGGCTGATTCAACCACATTATCGTACATGAATGCGTCTATTACGTGTGAGCTTTGGCGAAACAGTTGTGGCTTAGCGTGTCATTGAAATCTCACATTCGAAACAGTAGCTAATGATGGCAATGCAATCGGGCCGACAAAAGGGCAAGACGACCGCGGAGAAGTGACCCTCCCACGGGTTACAGCATCCCCAGCGCTCTATCGGCCCGATATACTGCTCCCAATCGTCTCGGCATTGCTGAGATCCTGTATTGGCCCAGTCCTCAAACTTATGACGTCGCAGAGGATAATCTCTGCAGAATCCTTGAAGATCCCGTGAGGCACGAGGAACCGGGTCAGAGGTATCATCGGGGAATAAATGTGGAAGTGCCATCATTGTATGAAGCGAATAAATCTCCGAACACTGAACATTCAAGTGGCTCTGCATATAATGCAGGGATAGTGAGAGGCCAAAATAAGACAGTTCTACAAGACTGGCATGGTTGTCTTTAAATTCAATACCATGGACCGACGAGCCCATTTTTCCGGAAAAAGAACTCGCAGCTTCATAATGAGGCAACTCGGCGTAATTGTTTGATTTCATACGTTGCCAGCAAGGATATATCTGTATACGAGAACAGGCGTTCATCTGAGCGGGAAGCACGATCTGATCTGAAGGGGATCATTGTAGGCATGGGCCAATCAATGCCTTGCGGGCAGTGGAGATCTGTGAACCATCAACCAGAGTTGCGTCGCGATGAGGTGTGCCAGGATTGGAGAATCCACTCAAAATCCACTTGGATCCTTCATTCTTCGAGTCTAATTGGGGCAAAGATGAAGATCGTTGAGAGTGCAGTTCGTGTTATGGATTACGTTGAAAGGTTGACCCAGGCTCGGCTCATTCAAGGAATAAGCTCAAAAGTGTAAGTCATTGATTACATACATTTAATTGCATCTAATTTCGGGTTGATTGCCTTGCAAGGACCAATAAGATTGCGGCAGTTGGTGAGGGAAACCTGGCACCGGAAGATCGGCAAGTGAAGCCATCATTATGGGATTTAAACTTCATCTCTCACGACGCTAACATCCTTGATGTTCCCGAGGGAAGGGTAAGACGGCGGGAAGCGAAACCCGACAACTGGCTTTGACAATGTGCTTTGTGGGTTCATAGAGTGGAAATCCACCCCTCATATCTCAGACAACTAAATTTAACCAGAATATTGGGGGCGTGCGAGCAATCACACATCATCCGGCTGCATGCCGCTAAGGCCGTGACTCTTTTCAGCCGCGCCCCCAGCCACTCAGCTCTGTGAATGTCACCGTGACACTGCAATGACAAAAGCCTTGAAGCGGCACCCTTATCCTGCAACGCCATAGATCTGGTCACTTCTCTGACCTCCTGGCATTTCACTCTTTTCGTACCTCAATATGGGAGAGTTATCTGCAGACCAGTCGACCGTGCTAGAGATTTTCAAGGGGTGCTGTTCTGCAGAAGGCCTATTGGGGCGTCGGGAGGGGTTGCAGGCTGGGGATGTGGAAGATGGGATCACTGACAACACTACCCTTTTGTGAGCAAATCATCCCTTTTCATTGAGACCATACTGACTGGCATGTATAGACGATATTTGGAGGCCCGTCGCAGGGACCCAAAGGACGCCCTAAAGCAATTGCAAGAGGCAGCTCAGTTTCAGGCTGATAGACAGGTTCTCCGTCTATATGATCTGATCTCCGTGAATGATTATGAGGAGACACGAAAGCTGGTATGCTGAAATCCCGACGAGTCGCATGCAAACCATCTCACACGAGGGCTAGTATCCTCACTGGACGGGACGACGGGACCGCCGAGGGCGACCTATCATGGCGCTTGATGTCGCTCATTTGAAGGCATCGACTATGGCAGCCTGGAGGAAGACGCGTGACATTTCAAGGCAAACTGAAATGATTTTATCGAACCCAATCATTCCGGACATGGAACAACGCGCAGCAATACATTTTGATAGCCTAACTCGATTCGTGCTCCCGCTTTGTACAGCCATGAGCGACCGGCCTGACCCGACCATCCCCGTCACCAAGTCAATCTACATCGTCGATGCCTCTGCCATCTCGCTGAAGCAAGCCTGGGATTTGCGGGATTTTGCACGCGATATCAGCTGGATCCTGTCGACCTGCTATCCAGAGACCATTGATCGGATTATTGTAAGAAATATTTACACCGTGACTGAGATCGATGTTGACTCTTTTTTAGGTGGGTAATGCGCCCTTCTACTTTGCCAAGATCTGGGCTTTCATGAAGAACTTTGTCGACCCCATGACGGCGGACAAGCTGGTCATCACCAGGCCCGCGGATGCATACGCGACCATGGCAGAATACATCGAACACAAGGACATCCCAAGCCAGTTCGGAGGAGGTTTCCAGTTCACGAATGGGATGCTGCCGGATTTGGACGAAGGCATACGGCAGGCTCTACAATGGACCATCTCCGGTAAGGAGGCATTCCCGCAAGGGCCACTCAAGTGGACCGAAGACGAGAATGGCCAGCGACGGGCCGTAGCAACAGGAAGCATCGATAGTCGGCAGCGATGCGAGGAAGTTGCAATTCTTCCAGTGAACCCGACAATAAATTCGCAGCTACCGAATTGACTACAAAGCATGATTTAGTGTCCATGAGATAGAGCATGGTCTTGTTATTAGGAATTTCTCTAAAGACAGTAGTGACCGCAAACGCCAAGGACATAGCCAGCTATGTCACTTTACTTTCTATCTATTCTCTAGTGGGTAATAACCAATCCGTCAAGGGTATATGCCGCATGAGTAAGCTAGAACTCCTTTTTATACATCCATTTGAATAGTTGGCAGACCGTGATGGTTAACCATAAACACACCTGAAAGATGGTCATCCCCGTCCCGACCCACTCAATCGCCGGTGAAGCCAAATACTCCCCCAAGTCGATCGTCGCCAGAACGAAGCCAGTGATGGGAAAGACCATGCACCACCAGATGAGCTCAAAGCGAATGGTGTGGTGCCAGAGAGCCTCCAGCATGCTTAGTGCCGCCATGCAGAAGAGAAAGAAGGCCAAGATCCATAAAAATACCGACGCGGCCACAGCAACAATGAGCAGGACATCCGCGGTGCGCACACTCGTTGCGGCGCTGATATATTGGGTTGGGAGTTTTTCCACCGCAGCGTCCGCCATGCTGATCATGGCGATGATTGTGAAACTGGGCGGGCCCACTGCGATGAACATCTCCGGTCGGAAATTTGGCACCGGGAGACCCTCGCTGGAAATCTCCGTCAGACTCTGCACCAGAACGACCAGGAACATGAGGAATCCGAATCCTTGCATGGTGGTGCCGCCTACAAGCATGGGCACCGCCTGAGCGGGGGCCTGGTTCGGGGCCAACACGCCGGCCATGGTGCCACTGAGCATCGGTGGGAAGTAGGGTAGGATGTTCACAATGGCAAAGTGGTCGCCATGGTTGGTGCCCGTATACGGAATCCACCAACCCAAGAGAATAGAGAGCAATAGCGAGACGCCAGTGTAGACCCAGAAGAAGACGTTCAGGGTGAGGATTAACCAGCGGCCACAATGTGGGGTGCCATAGTAGGAGGTGCAGAAGATGATGGTCGCAAAGGCGAGCAGCGAAACGGGGACAAAATACAGGTCCTGGGGCTTCTTGATATGCAGCCACCGGGCGGCAAAACTGGGCGATTCTTCCAGGGGCTTAGGGGCCTTCTGTGGTCGGACAGCCTCGAATAGGAGACAGAGGGTAACTGTGGTGTATATAACGAGGTTGGCGATGAAGACGATGGTTCCGATGGTCGTGAGGCCGGTGAACTGGTTTGGGGTCTGGTGCAGCAGTACCGCTATCCCACCCCAGCTGAGTGAGATGGCATACCAGCCCCAGGCTACCGATGAGGTAACCCTGCGAATGGGAGACATTGTATAGCGTCCTCCTGCATCCTGGCTCATGTCGATGGCGATGGTGATGGTGAGGTTGGCAAGAGGGCGGAGGAGTCGGACTAACAATCATGGCCAGGTGGTAGGGTCCTCCACGGGCTAAATAACCGTGTTCTCCCGACCGCGTGTCCAAATATCTTGTTGTTTTGTATTTATCATCTGTTGCCTTTCCTGGACATCACCGAGCATCATATCCAAGTCTCTCATGGTTTCGGAGGCAATGGTTGGTGACGTCATTTTCAACTCGCAGTGGAGTCGCTCTCAACCAGGCATGTTGGCACAGATGATGAAAGAACAACTGATGCCAGATAACAATCAATATCTGGTCAACAAGACCTTATCAATCCGCCCCCATCTCGGTCTATTGCCGAAGTGGTCCGATATTTGGCTCGGGATACCGATCGGGTGGCCGCAGGGGCAATATATATACTGTGGACTACTGCTACGTAATAGAATAAACAGGCGAATAGAAACTGCCAACTAGGATGCATGCACAAAGTACTTCTGGTACCCTGACAACTGTAACTATAACACCGAATATAAGATGAATGCAACTGTCCATATTATATCAAAATAAATTCATCAATCCTTATGTACAACCATTATCGCTCTATGCGGTCACTCTGAGTGTATCCTATAACTACACACACCATGGTTCATCCCTCACGCAAGTTGCGAAGCTTTCTCAGACAATATAATGAATCAACCGGCAATGCAAAACTCCATATGTATCTACGCGACCGCTATTTAACGCACAGTCTTCTCTCCCCGGTCTCGGCGCGACAGATGCAACCGCTTCCCCCACTTCATCCGACTCTTGCGCATCGCCCGCTGTGTCCGTTCCCATGGATAGTTAACCGGCGACTCACCACCCGTGAAGATGAAGAAATCGTACAGGAAGGCACCGAGGAAGGAGCCCGCAAGTGATCCGGCCCACGGCCCATAGAACCAGTACGGATTGGTGAACAGCGACGAGCCGTACCCGAGAGCCAGCAAGGCCAGTCGCGGCCCAAAGTCTCGACTCGGATTCAAGGCGGCACCCGTCTGGTAGGCAAAGCTCATCGTATTGCAGGTCACCATGAGACCCACGATCAGTGAGTTCATACCTGCTCCCGGGGGTGCGTTCTGATCGTCACCCAGTGCCAGGACCACCACCGTCAGCACCATCGTGCCCAAGAATTCGGTGAAGAAGGCAGTGCCAGGACCGATCCAGGTCTCGCGCTGACTGGTCACGAAGCTGGTGATAATGCCCGTGGTGGAGTTGGTCAAGAGATAGTGTTGGATGGAGTGGTAGTAGAGACCGTACGCGGCGAGCGCGGCGATGAAGGCCCCCAAAAACTGTGCAGCAAAGTACTCGGGCATCTTGCTCTTGGGGAAGCCACGGTAGAACCAGAGCATGATGGTGATGGTTGGATTGAGATGGGCACCGGACACACC